CAAGTATCGGTTATGTCAGATTTCACTGTTATGTTTTACAACCAAGTGGCGGTAATGTCTCAGATTTCACTGTAATGTTTTACAACCAAGCGTCGGTATCCGTCAGATTTCGTGTTTAACAACCACGTGTTTCTTATGCCAGATTTCACTGTTATGTTTTACAACCAAGTGGCGGTAATGTCTCAGATTTCACTGTAATGTTTTACAACCAAGCGTCGGTATCCGTCAGATTTCGTGTTTAACAACCACGTGTTTCTTATGCCAGATTTCACTGTTATGTTTTACAACCAAGTGTCGATATTGTCAGATTTCACAGTAATGTTTTACAACCAAGTGTCGGTAATGTCAGATTTCATTGTTATGTTTTACAACCAAGTGTCGGTATCGTCAGATTTCGTGTTTTACAACCACGTGTCTCTAATGTCTGATTTCACTGTAATGTTTTACAACCAAGTGTCGGTATTGTCAGATTTCACTGTGATGTTTTACAACCAGGTGTCGGTAATGTCAGATTTCATTGTTATGTTTTACAACTAAGTGTCGGTATTGTCAGATTTCACTGTGATGTTTTACAACCAAGTGTCGGTTATGTCAGATTTCATTGTTATATTTTACAACCAATTGTCGGTTATGTCAGATTTCATTGTTATGTTTTACAACCAAGTGTCGGTATTGTCAGATTTCACTGTTATGTTTTACAACCAAGTGTCGGTAATGTCAGATTTCGTTGTTATGTTTTACAACCAAGTGTCGGTATCGTCAGATTTCACAGTAATGTTTTACAACCAAGTGTCGGTAATGTCTGATTTCACAGTAATGTTTTACAACCAAGTGTCGGTAATGTCTGATTTCACTGTGATGTTTTACAACCAAGTGTCGGTAATGTCAGATTTCACTGTGGTGTTTTACAACCAAGTGTCGGTATTGTCAGATTTCACTGTGGTGTTTTACAACCAAGTGTCGGTATCGTCAGATTTCACAGTAATGTTTTACAACCAAGTGGCGGTAATGTCAGATTTCACTGTGATGTTTTACAACCAAGTGTCGGTAATGTCTGATTTCACAGTAATGTTTTACAACCAAGTGTCGGTAATGTCAGATTTCACTGTAATGTTTTACAACCAAGTGTCGGTATCGTCAGATTTCATGTTTTACAACCACGTGTCTCTAATGTCAGATTTCAAAGTAATGTTGTACAACCAAGTGTCGGTATCGTCAGATTTCATGTTTTACAACCACGTGTCTCTAATGTCAGATTTCACTGTAATGTTTTACAACCAAGTGTCGGTATCGTCTGATTTCGTCTTTTACAACCACGTGTTTCTAATGCCAGATTTCACTGTTATGTTTTACAACCAAGTATCGGTTATGTCAGATTTCACTGTTATGTTTTACAACCAAGTGTCGGTAATGTCTCAGTTTTCACTATAATGTTTTACAACCAAGTGTCGGTCATGTCAGATTTCACTGTAATGTTTTACAACCAAGTGTCGGTATTGTCAGATTTCACTGTAATGTTTTACAACCAAGTGTCGGTATCCGTCAGATTTCATGTTTTACAACCAAGTGTCGGTAATGTCAGATTTCACTGTTAGGTTTTACAACCAAATGTCGGTAATGTCAGAATCACTGTTAGGTTTTACAACCAAGTGTCGGTAATGTCAGATTTCACTGTTAGGTTTTACAACCAA